CAGCACCTTTTCTTTTACTTTTTTTTTTTAAGTTCTGGGTTGAATTACTTTTCTGTTCAGTCTTTGCAAAATTGTCCATGCTCTTCTGCTCTAAACAGTCCTAGGTAGTTTCGGCACAGCTGTTGCATCAGTCTCTTCCCCTTCTGTTTCGCTGTCCTCTTCTTTTTCCTAACTGCTATCTGCCAGCCACTGCCCCCAAGCACACCACAGTTCTCCAAGTCCTCCCTCTCAGTTTCTTTCCACTTGAGTCTGTATGTCTTTCTTCTTTGTGCTCTCTTGTTTGAATCAGTTCATGCTCTTTCTTGTTGTCTCCCCTTCTGTTTGCTCACTTTCACCAGCTATTTTGGGGCGGTCTTTTATCTCTGAAAGCTGCTCTGCTAAATTGGCGTTCTTTTATAGGGCTCTCTATAGACTCAGTGCTTTGCCCGTTCTTCTCTGCGATCTTCCTTTTCTGTCAAGGCTCACCGCTGTTTCTACTTGCAAGCCAATCCACTAATCCTCTCAATGCCACAACAAGTTGATTAAATTCTTCCTTCCCCTTTTAGATAGCTTGCCGAGACTTCAGGCCTGCCATTGAAACAAGGCAGATGCTTGCACACTGGATTAAAAGGGTATCCGCCCGTCAAAGTGGGCAGTGTGTTGGGCAATTCCTATTGTGGCTGAGGGCTAATCCTACCTTTGGTTCAGACTTTGCTGCAGAGAATTTCAAAATATCCTAACTTGAATGGAGTTCTGCCTGCAGTATTTGCTTTGCCTATGAATAGAGCTACCAAGATAGTTGGCTTCTTTCAATAAGCTCTTTATTTCTTAAGGGGTGACATCTGCTGAAGGCTATTAAGAAAGGTGGGGGCTGCTTTCTGTCTCCAAGAGCATATTTCTCCCTTTAGGGAAATATAATATTCTGCCTTTTTAATATCTCCTAAAATATTTCATCCTTCTAGGAAAGGAGTGGGTGCTAACTTTCTACACTTTCATCCCAGAAGCGTCTCAGTGCTTCTGATATGGAAGTAGTATCTTGATTCTATAGGGTAGAAGAGACACATTGATTTTGAAACTCTTTGGCCACTAGCAATAAAATGCTTTCAGTATAGTGCATTTTCAGAATATGTGGTATAATACACCTATTGGTCTTCATGGTAGCAAAAGTCTCTTGGTTATTTTGGTTCCAACAGACTAAGATGTCAACCAGCTCTAGAAAACAACTTCAAGAAATTCCAATAATGGGGACGCACAAGTACAAATATAGCTGATAAACTACTGTAGAGTCTCATTTTGCTCTGGCGTGTACAATAAAATCAGGATCCAGGGAAACCTGATAACCAGAATACTTCATAAAACTGGTTTCACATTGTGCTAATCCACACTTTCATTTGATTTTTTTAGCACAGGAGCCACATACAGGAATTTTGGTCCTAAACCTAAATCTAGCTTACACCATTCAGGACACTTCTCCATACCCTTCCATTGTGATAAATAATCTTTGCTTCTATCATGCTCACTCATCACTTTTCTCATTATAGTTTTCACCTCTCTCTTTGAGGCTCTCTTCAAGTGCATCTTTCCCAGTCTTTGCCTCAATCCATTTCTTTGTAGTAAAGCTTGTTTTACAATCTAATCCTCATTCATTCTTTACGCTGCATAATCAAACCATATTCTTATGCTCATTTCATACTGATAATTTATTTCTATATTCAGTCCAAATTCATTTTTTGCCTTTCTGTTTTATCACCCAGTTCTTAAATACCCTGTAGCCATTGTATCCAATATATTTGTTCAGTTTCTCCTGACAAACATAACTCCCTCTTTATTTAAAAAAATGGACAGAAGTGCACTCGCATACAACCATGTTTGGTTTTTTTTGATAAACATTCATTCAGTACAATAGATTACACACACTAAATTTCTAGTACCTGTCAGGCCTGCCTCCATTCAAATTCCAAGAAAGAAAGCCCCCCTGTGAAGTGGTATTTAAGTCTAAATGCTATTGCTATTGCTACCAGAACCCATTACATTTTTACCCATAAATACTTCAAATATATATATATAAAGGAAACATCACACACCCTTATCTTACTTACTCCTTGCTCAATGTTAACCATTCATTACACATTCAATTTCTTTACTTCCATCACATATTACACTTACTTCATTCAGCAACCACATTTCAAAATGTTTGGTAATTCAAGGCCGCTCAGTTTGAGTGCTTACTCTAAAATCAATAAATATAAAATAAACTACATAATTGCATAATTTTGAAAGCGTAACAATGCTTATGTCATTTTGACATCACTGTAGCTTGTTACAGGTGCCTATATTAATCTTGTTAGTTTATATTCAACCAAAGATGGACAAATGACCCTGAAAGTAGATTTTTTTTCTGCGTTCCTCCCCCACAACTTTGGAGTAAAAAGGTCAAGTATTTATAAGAGAAGAGAAATTAGTTTTTATCATCTAACCATGACTGAAAAGAACCAAGACTCCCTTACTTTGTTTTCAGACCCAGGATCTTCTCCCTGAATAATTTGTGAAGTCTTCAAGTAACTCCTACTGCAAATATAATCTAATTACTGCCCACCTCAATGGCCACAACACTGCTATAATTCAAGGTTTAAGCTACTGTATTATACAATGAGACAGAGATTGTGTTCATATATCACGACATGCTTTAATTGGGCTTGTTTCATTCTGATAATGAAATTTGTTTAGATAATGCACGAATACAGCAACTGTAATTTGCAAATCACAGCATATAGCAAGGGTTTCCAACCGTGGCAACATTAATCCTGGCGGACTTCAACTCCCAGAATTCCCCAGCCAGCTTTAATTCTGGGTGTTGAAATCCGCCAGTAAAGTTGCCAAGGTTGGAAACCCATGGCATATAGCATAACATTTCAAATCAGTCCAATCACCTATAGTTTTTCAACACTATAGTTAGAGCACAGGCTAACATCACATGGGAATCCACCGAGGTTGTGTTCATGCAAAATAATTGCGTTTATAATACCATATTGTCCGAATGCAGCTGTTAGGGTAAAGGACCATGGTTTAATAGGGTTGTGTTAACACTGCAACAGAGAACCTTACAATGACCCCACCAATCAATCTTTATTAAGGAGCTTAATAACAGGACGGTGCTAGGCGGCACTAAATTCTTCTAGTGTCCCTAGAGGTGCTGCCAATAAAAGTCCCGAACTACGCAGCTTCTGTCACCGTTCGATTCAGACGCTTTGGATTCCGAAGCCACCCTATAAAGCGCTCCCATTGGCGGACAGGTGGGGTGACGTAGAAACAGAGTTCATCAGACAGATTAAACGCAGCGTGTGACGTACTTTTCCCCGTATCGTCCTTTGCCCCACCTACCAGCTCTTGAATTGGCCGAGCTCCCCGTCTGTCTGCAGACCACGCTCTCCTCCCCCCCCCTCCCCGCTCTTACCGGAAACGAAACCTCATTGGCCGCTTTGCTCATGCGGCGTGGTCATTCCACGCGTTGGGACGCACCGCCTCTCTGCTTTCGCCTTCTTGCTTAGTGGCTGCATGCCACGTCCATCAAGATCTGACCAATAGCCGACTACGCCCCGCCTTTCGGCCGGCCTGGAAGAATTTTCCAATGAGCTTCCTTTCTGGGCTACCGGTTGATTTTGCTTAAGGCGGTCGGGTAAGTCAAGATGGCAGAGGTCGCGGGTGAGCGAGCCGTCGGCTTTTAAAGGCGTTGCCTATGGCCCTGGCAAGGTCGCAGCGCCAGTCAAGGGCCTCCTCTGTGCTCGCCTCAGATCTCCTCTGGCCGTCCTATGGAGCCGGTCTTAGGCCCAAAGCAGCGCTGCCCACTCTTGTCTTTTCCGTCGCCTTTCGTGAGCGATCAGGTCCTGGCCAGGAAGGGGAAGGGGGAGGAAACGTTTGGCGCCGTCCTCAACGAAAGGACCTGTACGAATTGCTGGGAGTCCAAAGCAACGCCACTCAGGCCCAAATTAAGACCGCTTACTACCGACAGTCCTTCCTCTACCACCCGGATCGCAATGCGGGCAGCGTGGAGGCGGCCGATCGCTTCATCCACATCACTCAGGCCTACCAGGTGCTGGGCAGCCTCAGCCTGCGCAAGAAGTACGACCGTGGCCTCCTCACCCAGAAGGACATTTCCAACGCCAAGAAGCCCTCGGGCAAAAGTAAAGCAGCAGCTTCTGCTGCTCAGACAGTGTACAAGAGGAAGCCGGTTTACACCTCTGGCCACCCTTCAGGCAAGCCCATCTTCAACTTCGATGAATTCTACCGAGCCCATTACGGCGAGCAGTTGGAACGGGAGCGCCTGATGCGCCTAAAGCAGCAAGAAATGCAGGAGCGCAAAAAGGCCATGGAGGAGGACAAATACAAATTCCTTGAGAGTTTTCTCCTCGTGATGTTTTTATCCGGCGTCATGCTCCTACTCAGACACCAGTGAAGAGAGGAGAAAGTTGTGCTGACTTTGCATGCTGATCTCTTGGGGAAGCTTTGGAAGCAGGAGAAACAGAAAAAACTGGCGAGACATTTTGTGAACTTTCTGCTGCAGGACACTCAGCAGCTTTTGGGTTGTTACACCACCAGTCTCTTGCGGAAGTTGCATCTAGCGCCCAAAGGACTTTACAGTTTTAGAAGGATTTGAAACAGGCATAGTTTTACATAGTTAATTGTCCATGCTTAACAACCCCGGGAGAAGGGATATAGGTGCTTGCCCATGAAAAATATTATCGTCAGATGCCACTTCTAATAGCATGAAATTCTTCCTCTTCCTTTAAGTCAAGAGTGGAAGGATTTGAGGGTGGGGGGGCTTTCCTTTTCACGGGTTGAAAACGTTGCTGGTTTTGTACAGGCATATTTATACGATTGTTGAGACTTGTCCTGGATTTGGGCCCAAGGCTGCTGCAGAATGTAAAAATACAGAAAGAAATTGGAACGTTATGAACAAATGTTTCATTTTTGTTAAAGCATTCAAATAGAGGGACAGTTTCTGTACAGTTTGACTTCTGGTACTGAGAGCCAATCATGTCTTTATCCTAAATATAATTTAATTGGATAAACTGACCACTGTGGGCTTTTTGCAGATTGTATCGTATAGCTGTACTGTGGTTTCCTTATGTCTACAAAACGTTCAAACCACACACAAACATAAATTTATACACACGCACTTTGTTTTAAAATTTCAAAAGCACAAAGATTGATGATACATGTTATTGAGCTATCTTTAACTATGACATGTTTTACATTAACATTGGGGATGACTTAGAATAGTGTCCAAAATGTGCTTTTTAATTGAAGATGATGTTCTCTGCAGTAATCTTTCTAGGGCTTCCCCTTCCCCCTCTAAAACTGCATTTACACAGTATTGTTTAAGCTGTTTTATTTATCAATTTTCTTAACTGACCCCAACCCAAGCAATTGTGTAATTGAATTCTCCCATTTTCCCACACTGTATTAAATCATTAACAAATCAAACAATGGGATTGCATAATAGGATCCCAGAAACCAGAACATAAAAACAAGCCAAATTTAGTATATTGTACAAATACATCTATAAACACGTCTTCTCTTTCAGTCTTAGTCCTTCATAGGTGTAAACCTTTTTTTCTCTTTTTTCCTTCCTGTATGATTTTCATTCTGAGTCTCCTAAACTGTCTGCTCCTAGTCTGGATGACAGTGAAAAAGTGCCTGCCCTTTTTCAGTTTTTAGCCAATAACTCCTCCCCTCTAGCAATTCTCCTTTGTTTTCAAAAACTGGAATGTTGTTCCTAAACAGTACTATAGAGGGAGTCCTAGTACTGTACTGATCTACAACTGCTAGTGAAATCATTTAGATTCATAAGCTAGAGTGCTTTGTTCTTGAACTAGCTGGATTTAAGAAGAATGAATCCCCATATATGGATAGTGAGAGGAAATAAGTTCCTTGTGATTGATGACTGTCATAAAAGCAGCCATCAATCTCAAACTAGGAAAAAAAGGGTCCCGTTCTCTTGGTTATGAAGAAACGCCAGACTAGGAGTGATATATATATATTTATCTTCTGTGTACTTTGTAATTAGCTTAATTTATTTTAACTGCCTTTAGATTGTGCTCTGCAGGTAGATTTCTATTAGATGCCAATTGTGGACACATTTCAGATTGTTGTTCCTGTTCATCCCTAGGATGTTTTAAGGATCACTTTCGAATAAAGTTCCTTGGAAGATGCAGAAGCCAGTTTTGGCATTGTAATAATTGATGTAACAATCGAGGAAAAAGCACACCGAAGTAGTATTGCACAAGAGTATATGATCAATCATAAATCAGCAAATAGCATTTTGACTTGTCACTTCCACGTTTAGGGGCACTTTTCTAAAAGTGTGCACGCTTCATAGCTGAGCACCAAGCCCTGTGTTAAATTAAGCATGGACACAGAGACTATAAGATGCCCGTAATGAAAGCTTCTGAGCTTTTTTAGTGTTGTCTGTCCCCACCCCCCCACCCCCTGAGATAATAATACCATTTCATCTGAGAGCTCCTGTAAGATTTCCTGCAGTATGACAGTACGCTGAAATATACCTGCTAGGATCTCCTAGGCATTCTGTGCAACATTTCAAGGAATTCTACCAACGCCCCCCCCCCCTCCTCCTCCCTACCAACCTCCTTGTGTGGCTTAGGTTCAGGTGGAACTGCATGGTGGTCGCTAGGGCTTTCTGGAGAAGCTTGCAGAATCTCTGTTGCCTTGCCTTCACAA